TCTTCCAGAGCGTGGGGAAGCTCTACGAGTTTCGCCTCATGATGACGTTCAGTGGGCTCAACCGGGGCTTTGCCTATGCCAAGTACAGCAACCGGCGCAGTGCCAAGGTGGCGATCACCGCCCTCAACAACTTTGAGGTTCAGGAAGGCTGTACCATCCTGGTATGCAAGAGCACAGAGAAGTGTGAGCTGAGTGTGGATGGCCTGGCCACCTCGCTGAGTCGGAAGCGCCTGGAGGCCATGCTGCAGGAGGCTGCTGAGGGTATCCTCAGCATCACTCTGTATACCAGCCCATACCAGAAACGGGCCCAGCTTGCAGTGCTGAAGTACAACTCGCACCGGGCTGCTGCCATGGCCAAGAAAAGCCTGATGGAAGGTACTGGGAGGCGAGTGGGAGGCTTGGTTGCTGTGGGATGGTGCTGGGCCTTGTCTTCCTGGTGTCTGTAGGCAAGCACTGGCCCCAGCTCCAGGCTCACCTGAGAGGTGACTTCAGCCTTGAGACATCCCCTGTCCTCTCCCCATGTTCCCTCCAGGACCAGAGGTCCTCCATGAGGCTGATCCCTGGCAGTCCTCGGGCAAATCTTGCAGTGCTGGGGGGCATCTGGAGGTCCTCAGTCTAATTGCCTGCTCAGAGCAGGAACATCACTGCTACTAGTCTGGGTCAGTTGGGGCTTTGGCTAAGTTCTGCAAACCCCCTTGGTGGAGGCACTGCACCTTTCAGTGCTGTGTCCCACTCTCCTAAGGGACCTGTTTCCCAAAGGTCCAACTTGAGCCTCTCAGGTCCCAATTTGTGCCCATGTCCCCAGCTTTTATCTGCCCCAGCTGAGAAGCATTTGGCTCTGTCATCTTTGCGCCTGTCTCCAGGTAGCTGTAGGCTGTCTTTAAAAACACCCAAGCTTCACAGCCAGCCCTGTGCCGCAGCCTAGCTTGGTTGCAAAACGGAGCGGAGAAGTGGTACTCTGAAATGAGAGCTGGCCTGTGGCTGAGTGAGGTGTCGTAGAGTTGAGGCATCCTGTGCGGTTCATGCACTCTGGGTCAGTGTCAGACCAGCCCTTGGTCACCATGCCGGATGCTGGGGAACAGGAGAGGATAGTGCGATACTAGAGGGCTGGTGCAGAAGTGTCTCGTGCAAGCTGGACGCTCTCTCACACAGGGAATATGAGGCTCTATGAGGAGGAGATGAGGGTGGACTGGCTGAAACCTGACCTGAAACAAAAACTGCGATCCAGTGAGAAGCCACTGGCCATCTGGGTGTCACGTGGCAAGTCTTCAGGGAGCACCAAGCAAGCGCAGGTGCACCTGTCTCCGGTGTTGTGCAACGTGTTGGACCGTCTGGACGCCCTGTGCCAGAGGCGACACCTAGGGGCCCCCTTGTTCTTCACAAAGTGTGTCCAGGCAAACCCCGATGGTTGGCTGCGATTTTGGTGCCAAGTGGTGATCCCGGCGTACCCACTGCCCTTCAGTGGGTTCACATGGGTCCGGCAGGATGTGCCGGGTGCCAGCGGGCATGACAAGGCAAAGGATGTGCTGGCGCTGCAGGTGCTCAGGATGCTAGGTGAGTCCTTACACAGAACTAACACAATACTTACCTCTCTCAAAGTCTTGGAGGATCTCCTGGGACTGTGGGAGTTCTGGGCTACATAGGGCAGGCTGGGACCGAATGTGGGAAGGAACCAGCCCAGCCTGGTAGGTTGGGCCAGGATCCTGGCGCAGAAACACTGACAAACCCCAGCCATATGTAACTCCAGCAGCTGTGAGCACAGGGTGGGGTTTCTGGTTGGAAGTAGAGGGTGCAAGGAGCTGGGAGGAGGCTTTGGGGTGTTGAGCTCTTGGCTTCCTGCAGCACTGCACAGAGCCTGATGCTCTCTTCTCCGTCACAGGATGCCGGCTGGCCTAGGCGGTCGTCCCACCTGAACCATGGGCCGATCCTGAACCATTGCTTACTCATCACCAGCCCACAGGAGCAGGATGCAGGCCCAGCCGGGGATGCGGTCCTGTTTGTTTTGGTTTGTTTGTGTTTGAGAGCTGGCTCTGGAGGATGGAGGTGTAGTCACAGTCCGTGATGGCTTCCCCATCCTCAGCTGGCATTTGGTTCTGTTCTGTTCTTGGGGGTATAGGTTTTACTCACCTGGTTTGGCAGTTTTTTAACTGGTTTGTGTTGCTCTGTGCTGGTGGGGAAGCCCAGTGTAGGTCCTGGGAGAAGAGGAAATTGGAGGGACTCCTGGCAGTGGGTGAAGACCAAGAAGCCTTAGGGGACCTCCCGGGCTGGCCTAGGATCATGGGCACCGTGCGTGGCCTTGGCTCTCCTCTGCTAGCATGCCTGGTATCCAACGAACAGCCTGGCTGATGGCGTGAGGCTGATGTTCAAGATGGGGACAGGGCTGTGCATGGGGACTGTCCTGGTAAAGGAGGTATGTCCCATTGGCTGGCAGAGCTGTTTTTTAACTAGGAGAGCGTCTGCAGGCTCTTGGAGGTGTGGAGCTGTTCATATCCCTGGGCTGCGAGAAAGCAGTGCTGGGGTTATCGGCTGTCTATGAATGAGTCCTCAGCACCAGGAGGACCGGCTGCAAGCTGGCCACTTGGTATTAAAGTAGCCTGGAAGGTGCCCCGCTGTGTCATGTCATCTTTTGCCACCACAGTTTCCTTGGCCCTGTGTGGCAGCTCAGCAGGTGGGGTCTGAGCTCGGGGTCTGCGCTCTGAGCTCAGGGTGTGCCTAGGCCCTGAGCGTTTAAAACAGGGTAACAGCTGGTCCCTGGGCTCTTAGGTATTCGGGGCTCCTGAGGTCCTGGAGCAGCTCATGAGGGCTTAGGTGCGTATGGGAAGATGGGACGTTGCCTCCTGGTAGGATGGAGTAGCTGGCCTTGAACTGTGGATCCCGGGGAAGAAACACTGGTTATGGAAGGCGCTGCTTTGGGGAGTGCGAAGCTCCAGGCTGCATCAAGACACAACTGAGTCCCTAAATCCTAGAGCTGCTGTAGGTACCCTCTGTAAGGTCTACTGAGATGCCATAAAGGGTGGCAGTTTCGGCGTGAGGGTTATAGTAAGGCCCCTTCAGCTTTCTAAGCTGGCCTCTAGGGAAGCTAGAGGCTGGCAGGCCCTGGCAGCATCACCCAAGCAGCTACTGTGGCTGAGCAGACCACAAGACAGGCAAGAGCCTCTCCCTGGTCCTCTCAGTGAGACCCAGAGCACTTGGGCTGCAAACCAGAGCCCTCTGTGTGCTCTCTGGGTCACTCGAGATCCAACCTTGTGGTGCTTCTTCAATCATCCCCAAGGCCCACTGTGTGTCTTTTGGTGACACTGGAGCTCTCCACGTGCCTTTCCTCAGTTCAACGCCAGGCCCTCCATATGGCTTCCTGTGCTCTCCGTTTCATCTGCCATCTTGCTCTCTGAGGTGTTGTGATGCCCTTTGCTGTGCACAAAGGCCCTGCGTATAAGGCCCTGTGCTCTTGATGCTGGACAGAGCCCTACATGTGCCCTTTGGTTCCCTCAAAACCCCTCCGTGTGCTTCTCCATGCTCGCTGTTGCCCTGCATGTACTTTGCAGTGCCTATCAGAATGCCTTGTTTTGCTTTTGGTGTCCAACAAGAGCTCTCTGGTTTGCTTTTGGTGCCATCCAGAGCCATCTGTATTTCTATTGGTGCTGCCAAAAGCCATCCACGTGTCCTTCAGTGACCCCAGCACCCTCCGGTTGCCTTTCTTTGCATCCCTGAGGCCTCTGTGTAGTTTTCCTTCCCTCCCCTAAAGCTCTCTGCACCTTCTTGCGGCCTTTTGGTGTCTCCCAGAGCTCTAGGTGCTGCTGAGCTTCCTCCCTGTGCTTTCAGCATGGGCTGTGTCTTCTGCTGTCCCTGGGCTCCTCTGTGCCTTTTGGTACATGTCACCACCTGCATGTGACTGAGTCTCTCAGAGCTCTCTGTTTGCTTCCGGAGTACCCTACAGTCCCTGGTTTGCAATTTGGCATGCCTTGCAGCCCCTAGTTTACCTTTCCAGGCATGCCAGAGCTTCTCCCCTTTGGCTGCCTGAGCCCTTTGAGTGCCTTTCAGAGCCCTCCAGAGCTTTTGTTTCCCCTCCAGAGAGCCTGCCGTGTGCCTTTGGGTGCAACCTGGAGCTCTCTGGAGCTAGAGCCCTTGTTTTGCCTTAAATTGCACCCCAGGATGCTCAGATTGCCTTCTGGAGTGCCTTCCTATTCCCACTCCTATGTTTGCCTTTTGATGTGTCATGTTTCTTCCCCGGCCCCCTGCAGACCCATGTTCATCTTTGGAGGGGCTGGCTGCACAGGAGCTTCCTGGGGAGGGATCAGGGTTGTGAGTTTGCATCAAGAGGTGCAGCTCCCCAGCAAGCTGAGGCAGAGCAATTTCATCTCTCCCTGAGCCTCTTTGTGCCCCAGCGATGAGCAGGGTGGGCTGGGCTGGGGGAGAACAGCTGGTGTAAGCAGAGAGGTTTGGCTTCAACCCTCTGTGCAGCCCTGTGAAACATCCCTGTGCTGAGAGCTGGGTGCTCAGGGGATCTCCTCCAGCTCTCTGCCTTTGCCACTGCCAGCGACCCTCTTGGGGACCTGTTATTGCTGCCTGGGGTGAGCTGGCATGGAAGGATGACTCTATGGCCACCAGCCTTGGGGACAACCGGGCAAACAGGATGGGGACACCATGGCTGTCATGTTGGTTCCTCCAGTGGCTTTATTAGCTCTGGGGTGCTCTGGGCAGTGCCGCACGCTCCTCACTGGAGCTCCCTGAAGGACTGCTGCTACCCAGGGCTTTGTGTTGGGGGGTTGACGGGGAGGTGGCAATTCTGTGCTTGCTGCCCAAGGGGGGCTCTGTTTGTCAGTGATCTAACAAAGTGGTGCTGAATATCAGGCTCTGCTCCTGTCCCCTTGCCCAGGACTCCCAGCAGTTGCACTGCCCCAGCTCTTGGGAGCCAGGGGTGTTACTGGAGTTGGTGCAGCAGGACTGGATCACACCAGTGCTGGATGTGGGACTGAGCAGGGCTGGGCCCTGCCCCAGGATCGCCCCTGCCCCGTCTAGGGTGGCAGCACCCCCCAGCCAGCTCACATAGACCCAGGGTCAGGCAGGGAGGGCTGGGGGTAGTGTGTAGCAGGGACCTTCCCCATGGGCAGGGTGGACAGATCTCCCCGGGGAGGGCTGAAGGGAGTTTAGTTGTGGGGACAGAGCAAGGCTGGGGTTAGGGCTGGGCTGGGCTGTCAGGGGCCTGGGGCTGCCTGGGGAGCCCCTGCATGCCCAGAGG